AAGAGCGGGAAGCTCCCTCCCTTCCAAGCCTGTCCTGGGAATCCCGGCATTTCAGCCCCGTCAGTGATGGCAGAAGACCATCAAATACTCCTCAGAATGCAGCCTAGCTCTGTGGGGCTCTCCCAGGGTGATTTATGGCTGTTTCTACAAATTATAAGCCTGGAAATTTTCTTCAAGATTTAAGACACCTGAGAAATAAGGATTGCTTGGGCACTTCATTAATGCTGCGTATTTTACCGACTCCTTTCTTGCCGTGTGCTAAAGCACAAGCCCGAGAGCAGCAGCAGTTAAGGTAACGGCATTGTAAAGCAATCACGTAATTAGTTATCTGAATTCAATCACTTAAAAAAAATTATAGCTATATATTGAAAAGCTGCTTCCAGAAGGGACAAACAAGGCGCCGTGCAGGAGGAGGAGCGCGGAGCGGGGAGAGGACGGGGTCGGAGCAGCGGCGCGGCGCGTTTACAGCTTCCTTGTGGGATTCGCATGAGTTTAGTGACAAAGCGAGACCCCAGCAGCAGGGACATTGCTGCCGTGTGGTGTGCAGGAATCTGCTTGCAGATGTGTCCGTGCTGCTGCGAGGGGTTTTTCCCTTGCTGTTTTTCCTGCAGTTCAGCATGGCGTGGGATAACACGCTGCAGTGAGAGTCTTTGTGGTGGTTCCTTCCTCTCTAACAGAAAACAGCATTCTCCTGAAATCCAAGGCTAATTTATTCATTCGTTAAGTATTTCACTTAAATTCTGAGATTCGGTCTTTAAATTTCCATTAATTTGCACTGTTTGGTCTATTGAGGTTTTCATTTGTCAAAATTGTTAGCTCTGGGGCATTAGTTACGCAAATATTGATGTGTAGCTTTGGCCTGTTAGCTATCAATTGAAATCAGAAAATCGATGGACTTAATAGCTGCTCATTAGAGCGCTGCGTCGGCGCGGCGGGTCCCCGCGGGCGCTCGGAGCGCTGCGCCCAGCGTCAGCCGGCGCGGAGCGGAGCCTGCGGGACCTGGACGTGGTTGCTGCTGCCTGGGAGGGTGTTTGGACGGAGGAGGTTTGTGCCACGTAACGTGGTTGCTGCTGCCTGGGAGGGTGTTTGGACGGAGGAGGTTTGTGCCACACAACGTGGTTGCTGCTGCCTGGGAGGGTGTTTGGACGGAGGAGGTTTGTGCCACGTAACGTGGTTGCTGCTGCCGCTGAACTGCAGCGCCGGAGCCCGCGCTCGGTGCCGCGGCCGATACCGCTGCCGAGGGGAGCAGTAAGTGAAGAGGTTTTCCTTAACGGCTGCATCTCCATTAGGAACAGGGAGCTGCTTCAGCTCCCAGTTTTCAGGAGCGCACTTCAGAATGGAGCAGTATGAAATAGCTAAGAAACGGGAAGCATTAAGTGCATCAGTTAAGGATATTCTAGCCTTGTGCTAAGCAGGATACGTATAGAAATACCTGAGTACATTCCTCAATTTACATTAAAAATGGCTCTGTGGATTTTAAATGAGTTCATTGTTTGCAGTCAGGAAGGGCCTGTCGTTCTGATTTGGGCCATAATCCTGCAGAAACATGTGCGTTTGGTTACGTTCAGGCATAAACCACCAGCCTGAATTCAAAGGCAACGTGTACGGCCAAGGCATCAGGCAGCTAAATATCGGCGAGATAAAATTCTCAGGTCTGCATCACTATTCTTAGAGGTAAATGCAAGAAAACGGTGCGTCACACCTTTGATTGAGCATTTTTGTCCACTGGACAACAGTGGGTTGGTGGAGAAGGAAAAAGAAAGACCCCCCCGTGCTCAGTAAATGCGTAGGATGAGGGAAATACAGACTGAATTAATGATATTTAAAGATGACATAGGCAATTATAACTGAAAGGTCAGGGTAGGTGGCAGTTTTCCCAAGTATACAGAGTGCCAGAAAATTCCCCAAAGTATGTATTTTAATTGAGTTATGTTTTCTTTCCTTCACATTGAAGCATTAAGGCATTACCCCATTCCTGGTTCTGTGGTCCTGTAATTTAACATGGCAAAATTCCCAGATCTGGTTTTCGACAGCAAAACCACATCACGCACAGGCCTCCTCCAGTAATGAAATACAACATCGTGCCTGCTCCCAACCATCGCTTCCTTTCTTGTTCCAAGCAAAAATACATTTAATATACCAGGAAAAAAAAAGACTCCAAGGGGGAAGAAGTGGAGCTGGATGCCCCCCGGCGGGGGGGGAATGCGGGAAATCCCTGGAAAAAGTGTGCAGAGGTGGCGCGGGCAGAGCCGGGCGCCGCGAGGGGGTCGGGATGGCACCGGGGAGGCTATTCCTGATGCAAGGATTTTACCTGCGCACGGGCACGCGCTGCCGGTGCCCGCTCTGCCGGCTGCTCCGTTTGGCCGGTGCTTTTGGTGTCCCGCGGTTCGGTACGTTGGGGCTTCACCGAGACGTCTCTTGTTTATGCTGGCCAAGGGCTACTTGAAATGCGAGCTTAAATATACACATTATATTTGGTTGGTGCTGGACAGCTGTTTAGCTGGAAGAAATGGTAATATTTGATCTAATATTTGATCTGGAGGTCTGGCCTAGGGAGGACCGGGAAGAACAAAAGACAGGACCAAAACAACCCAACCATTTTGCTAGTCCGCGTTTCGCTTTGCATTTAGCCACTCGCTTGAGTAACATTTGGTGCTTGAGGGACCCCTGAGGGGGCTCCAGGGGCTCCTGACGGCCATCAAGAGCCATTGGATGGCCAAAGGATGTCCCTGCTCCTCATCGCGCGGAGCTGGGCACGGAAATACTTCCAGTTATATGAATGCGTATAATAGATACGTGTCTCAGTTTAATATGGACAAATTGTTATGTATTACACACATATGTAATATATACCCTCATCAGCCTGTACGTACAGTATAGAGGTTATTTGGGATGCAGATATATAAAAGATAGAAGCAGCCAGTAATTGCCTTTAAGATCAGAGCACAAAGCATTACCTTGGATTTTACAAGGCCAGCGAGCAACAAAAGAGCAGTAATTTATGAGCTCAGCGTAAAAGAATAGCATAATTGCATTAAAAATTAATGCTAATGAACACTAAAATGGGGAAGGTGGTTATGATGAAAGTTTGTATTCATCTTCCCCGGTTTGAATGATGGCTAGTGGCTTGATTAATGGCTTAATTTCTATCAATTAGCGGGGAAAAATCTCCTACGAGACAAGGGTAAATTGAGCATTGAATTACATATCTTGCTTTTGTGCGCTGAGAGGAGTGGCGGCGTCTCCCGGCCCCCGCCGCGGTGCCGAGCGCGCCGCGGACACCAGGGCCGGCTGCTCCCGGGGGACCCGGCGCATGGATAAGGCTCGGGAAGGAGAAGCCCCCCGGCCCCGTGGGTTTTCTCACTGGCTGCTACCGCTGCCGTGTGGTTTGGTAAAAATAGTCGGTTCCGTTGTGCAACTTTATCATTTGAAATGTAAAAGTGAAGAAAGGTAAACGCAGAGGAGTATTTGCCGCTTGTTAGTTAATCCGTGTGGTCCTTCACTTACGCTTGAAGGAGAGCCCCAGGGCCCGGGCGCACTTTCCCAGGCAGGTTTATGCGTTACAGCCACCCCTGTGACCTCCCAGCTGGGCATTCCAGGGACGGCGCCGCCCCGGGAGCGGCCGCAGCGTGCCCGGCTCCCGCGGTTCAGTTTATTTTTTTCGCTGTAACGCAGTGAAAAGACTTGCTGTGCAGTGAGTTAGTATTGATTTTTTTTGTCTGTAGCCTCTTAGCTTTCTGACTCCATTATTTTTGATTTTACTATGAAATACATATCCTTCCTACTGACATCTGACAAACAACATCTGGAAGTCATTCTATCTACCAATAATGTGTTTGTCAAAAATACCGTGCGCTAATGGCTTCTGCTTCCTCCAGTCCATTTTCCCCACGTTAATGTCACTGATGTAATCCTAAAAACACGCAGTGATTTTGTCTCTCCTAATCATTTGTCATTCCTGCAGGCCTGCGCAGGAGTCGCTCAGCCCCTGTGGGCTGGGACGTGGCCGGGCTGAGCGTCCCCCCACGGCCGCTCGTCCCTGGGGTCTCCTGGATGCTGCCGCTGTCCCGGTGCGGGTGCTGCGGGTGCTCCCGGGACAGGGCTGTGCGGGACGTGTCGCACGGTCCGGCAGAGCTGGCACGAGCTGAACTGGCAGCCGGGGGGTCTCCTCCGGCAGCCCCAGGAAGGGGCCGAGCTGGGCCCTGCTCGCAGGGGCAGGGGCAGGGAGTTGTCCGACGGGGCAGGAGGGTGTCTGAAGCAGTCACCTGCGCCCGGCTGTCAGTGTGACCGGCTTGATGCCCATGCAGAGTTGGACCATCCCCTATTTTTCACTTCATCGTATCCATAGAGGCTGCGTTCTCAAATGATTCATAGCCACAGCAGTATCCCCTTTGCTGCTCAGCTGTATTTCTCTCCCTGGTTGCTTGTCTCTGTTACCTCTTTTCTGAACGCTCTGCCCAGCAATAGCTGCTCTCTGCGGTGCCCTGGGCCCGGTGCCACCCTGTGTAAAACCAGGGGCCGTGAGGAGCAAACGAGCGGTTGCAGCAGTGAAAGAGAGCAGGGAGCTGGAAGAACAAGGTGGAAGTTTACGTTTGCTGGTCACTGCTGTTGGATATATGTGAGGATTAACTGAGCTGCGGACTCGGAGAAGCCTTCACTTCTCCAGGCTATTCTCCTGCTATAAATCTAGCATTTATCTTGTAAGGACTTTGCTAGCAAATTCTGCTGTTAGCCTCTTGAATTATATCACATATTGAGCCATAACAGCCAACTCACTGCTGTTATTTTTATTAAGGAGTTTTCTTCTGTAACAGAGTATTTTAGCTTGCATTAAAAGCTGGGTTTTTTTTATTCTGCTGGATAATTCCTAAGTTGTGAAATACATTCAAGGTTTTGCTTAGCCCTAGCGTTTATCCCAGGCTCACACTAATGCATCCTGACACTACACCTTCTCTTTTAGACCAGGCCACCCTAGTGGAGCAAGTCAAACGAGTAAAAGAAATTGAAGCTATTGAAAGTGACTCCTTTGTTCCGCAGATGTTCAGATCGAGTAAAGACATCAAAAAGGTAAGTTCTACACGTCCCTTCTGCGCGCGTCGCCCTTTCAAGGCCAGGTGGAAGTCACACTGCTAGTGGAGTTGCCACTGGTGACAGCAGCAGTGGGGACAGCTCCAAAGGCAGCGCTGGAGTCTGTGCTCGGATGACGATTCTCCTAAATGCTTGTTGGGGGTCAAGGAAGAACATGCTTAGATGCGTGAGACGTTTCAACGAGACCAACTGCTTTGACAGTATGTTTGGCAATTCAGATTGTTTGAAGTTCTTTTAAAATCATGTGAAATTATCATGTGTTTTTAAGGGAAAGCAGAATAATTAAAATGAAAAGGTAATCATACATTTAGAATGTAATTAGAAGTCAGTATTCTTAACTCTGCTTAACCAAAGCCAAACTCTAAAGCTGTATTTCCTTACTGAAATAAATGGCATGGTTTTCAGACAGCTTCCAAAGAGCAGACAAAATTAGCTTAAGATATCCAGGCCTGGACACGGCTGTGGGCGCAGGCAGCTCCCGCTGGGCATCCCAAGGGGAATCCTCGTGCAAGGAGCCGCAGCGGGGCCACGCGGCAGAGCGGGGAGCTGGCCCGGGCCCAGCAGCACCCACACGTGGTTCTTCTCTCTCCTTCCAGTCCACAGAAGCTGCTGAGCTAAAGTACGAACCCATAACCATAGGAGTGGGGGCTGCCGACACGGCTGCTCCTGAAAAGGAGACGACGACGGCCAGCATTCCCACTGCCATCAAGTACCAGGACGATAACTCGTTAGCTCACCCCAACGTAAGTGTGCGGATACTCACTTTAGGGGAAAAAAAAAAAAAAAAAGAGTCCGCTGAACCACCAAATGACAGCAGCCTCATCCAGCCTAACTGGTTTTGCTGCCTATCAAATAATCCATGTGCTGAACACTGCTTACTAATGAGCTGCTCATTGGCTCAAAAGGATCTCACCGCCTGCATAATCCACAACAGCAAAAATACAAAACAAGACATTTGCTGCTCTTTTGGCTAAAAACCAAATGAATGTGAGCAATTTTTTTCCCTTTAAAAAAAATTGTATTCTTTTATACAACTTTAAGCTCTGATAAAGTGTGATGTAGTTTTAGCATTACATACATGTTACATGTTTTAGAATGAAGTACCCTGCTAATTTAATGAAGGGAATTTAAAAAGGCTTAAGAAAAGATGCTTTTGGCTTATGTTGTTTGAAAGCTGATGGAGGACTCAGCACTTTCCTACACTTTACCAAATTCTAAAGCTTTAACTAGATGAGAGGCTTTTTTAAGATGGGATTTTTAAATCAAGGTAGTTAAGCTTATGCAAATTCCTTTGTGGACGCTTAACTGGAAATAAGAGTATTCGCAGTAGATTTTTTGAATTAGCATGGTAAAAATGACTTACAGTAAACTAATGTAAGTACTGAATAGTGAACATGGCTATGGAAGAGGGAAGCCCTGCAGGATATGAGCAACTTTCCTTTTTTTGCTTTTTGCTCAAGCACCCTTACGCAGCTGTGCTTTTCCTAGCATTGAGATGGCTGATGTTTAGTAACAAACCCAGATGAAGGTAACGGAGTTGTGCCTACCTTTCCCCTCCCCGTTCTCCCTGCAGCTGTTTATCGAGAAGGCAGAAGCAGAAGAAAAGTGGTTTCAGAGGCTGATGGCGCTGCGGCAGGAAAGGCTCATGGGCAGCCCGGTGGCCTGAGCAAACTGCTGGGAACATCAGACACAATTTCCTGTGATGCTAAGAAATCCTGCCGTTACATTCATTTTTCTCTTTTCGCGGGATTTTAATACTCAGTGAGTGGTACAGAGACTAAGTATTTCATCTGAATAAACAAGAATGTTCCATCGTCATTTTTTTCCCTAATTCATTGCAGGGTCACTTGTACTGCTAAGCTACCTGCTGCTGCAGGGAAGGGTGTCGTGGGGCTGTCATTTGGTTTTGTACTGAATTTCTCTTGTGTGCAGAAGACTTGACAGACCAACCAAAAAAAAAGAAAAAGCCCTTACGTCTCTGTATCTATATACACAGCCTGTCCAAGAAAGTTCAGCGTTAGCAGAGGCAGCCCAGGAGTGCAGATGGTACCACCTGGGCCACGGGATCTTTGCAGCTGAGGGAGGATTCAGGGCCAAGTTTATTGCTGCTCTCTTCTCTTCCATCACTCTTCTCCTTGCTGCTCTCATCTGCCTGTGTATTGGTAAGAACCTTTATTGACCACAACTACTGGCATACCCATTTCTGGACAGAGCAAATCTTTTTAGTATATGAAGTTCCCATTTGTCAAAATAAGACTTGAAAAGAATGGATTTTGTCATGTTTGGGCTATCATTCAGTTTGTCTCATGCACACCAATCAGTGTATTAACACCAAACACCGTCCAAAACAGGGAAAAACCCAAAGCATTTCTTTTGAGTTATCTGGCAAATCCTCAAATCTGTGGGAAAACTATAGTATCAGTGGAAGATTTATGGAAATAATTCATTTAAGAAGCCATTTCTTCTGTTTTAGGGCTTATATTGTCATCCTATCCCCTCTTACTGGAATGTTCATTACACATATTTGAAGTCTATGATAGTAGTGGCGTGGGAGGAGGAATGGTGAGGAAGGGGTATGTTGTTTTCTACCAGATACCATCTGTTACCAATCAGAAGATATTCCATTCTTGCTGTTATTTAGCACAAATACATGTTTCTAAGGGGGCTTCCCGAAGCAGCTCAGGGATGCCTGAGCCTGCGTAATGGAGATGGGGGTCACGCGGAGCAGGCTCTGACAGCCCCAGCAAGGCCAAACGCTGCCGCTCGCAAGAGATTTAATCTAATTGTGCCGCCCCTTGTCGTTAGGGCTAAGCTGGGTCTCAAGAGCACCCATCCTTGCACCGTTCATGGTCTTCTGCCAGGCTCATTTGCACTGAAGCTCAGGGCTCCCTGCTGCCCAGCCCTGTGTTAAGGGTGCTGGGCCGGCGCTCTCAGAACCTGCTTGATTAAACTGGGCTTAAACTTGGGGCACAAAGAGAAGCTGCTCTGCTGTGTAGGGGGGCAAAGCCTGTATGGGGGCAGTCCATAGAGGGGCGTCATCATTAATTATTAGACTATCCTCAAGTTGTGTAAATTCTGTTTTTCCTTATTTTGCCTTTACTTGAACAGTCTCTCATGAATGATTAAGGTATTAATTTTTTAAATATCAAAGTATTAAATTACTATAATTAATAATTATTGTAAGTATTAATAAGCAGATACTAAGTCCTTGAAACGATATAGTTAAGTTGGCAGTCACACCAGAATTAAACTTCATTCTGTGACCAGCTATGCAAGAATAAGGAGAACCTTAAACTTTGCCATTGAAATTATTTTGCAAGACTTGGTACATTTTACATGGGTTAACAGGTTGCATACCTGTCCAAATAGATGTGTTGTCCACAAGCTCCATTTATGGCATTTTTCCTGGAGGAAAAGCCAAGTGTGTAACCTAACTAGAGGCAGATACCAATGCCAGGAGCGATGTCTTGGCGTGGACATGAAGCTCACATCGATGATTACCAGTTAATCACCATCGACCTGGGAAAATGCACTGCTGGCTCTAACCGCCTGCTCCTCATAATTCCTAAACAGCATCATATCTTTCTGTAATAACTGTACCTTCTTAGAAGCTTTTTATCTAAGGTCTTCTGATGTAAACCATTAGTTTTTAGGACTCTTGCCTGTGAACAGTTTGGTTTTGTCATATGTTCCACTTTTTTCTAGTGAAAGTTATTGGATTCCTGGTTAGGAAAAAGGAAAGAAATAGTAGCTTGTTACCCAGCTAAACCACGGCGCTGTTCAGCGTGCAGTTTTACGGCTGCCGTCGTGTTCTGTCACTCGCGTCTCTCTGACATGATAAGCAGTAACACAAAGTTCCTCCTAATACCAAACTACCTTAAATCTGACCTAGACGACTGTGTGTAGGAGGGAGAGGATAATGCTGTAACTCGATCCATTCAGACTTGTGGTAGTCAGCAAAGACCTCTACCCTTAGAAATTACATTAGCAAACTCATTTCACTTAGCCTACTGAACAGCCACCATCAATTAAAATCAAACTAGGCTGATCTTGATTTGATAACTTTTAGGTAAAATGTCCATTATTCATTTCTGATATCTTGAGTCATCTAGCATCTACATAATTATTTTTTATTAGGGTAACTGCCTGAAAATTAGTTCTGTTTCTATTACGATTATTGTTACAGTAGCTTAGAAAGATTTGTCCCAGTAAAATAATGGTGTATCAGAAAACACTGCCAGTCAGGAGTAGATCAAATTTTGCTACTTCTGCTTAAAGATCTGAGATATGAACTGGGACTGAATGGACCTGAAGGCCATTTTTCCATCAGTAACCCAAAACCAGCCTTCTCATTGATTACAATTTTCCATTTGTCAAGTTACAAGAGGCAGGTTATTTTTAGTGGAGCTCCTTGAACTCTAAAAACCTGGTTCAAAAGGGATCATGTTGGACCCATAACTTAATCCACCCATGACGCTGCATCACGCTTCTGTGATTCCTTCAACCTGCAGCAATAATAAAAATATCCCCCAGGAGGAAGGGAAATAGCCTTGATGCCTAATGGGCGTTATGTCTCTCGCCTAAGCTCCAAACTAAGGGGGGCCCGATTTGTACATAGAGTGAAAAGGTTTGATTTGACCTCAGCCTCCCAAACCTGTGAAAAATTCCCTGCAAAAACATCCTCCTGCTAGGAAGAGAGGGAAAAAAACCCTATAACAAGGATGAGAGGAGGCAGAATTCTCCACAGCAGAGCTCTGCTTATTTAAAATAGTCATCAGTCTTATATTTAGCTTAGCGGGCATTTCCTAATTTCTTTTTTCTAACTCTATTTCGTCACCTTCTTTTCCTCCTCCTTTGCTGAGGCCTGGAGCAAAAAAAAAAAAAAAAAAAAAAAAAAAGAGCGGCAAGGGCCAGGCCAGATGATAGGACTTGGACACGGAGTCCCTCGGGAATTGCCGCCCCAGGGCGAGCAGGTGAGACGTGAGACCCCTGTGAGGAAGGCGGAACGGCGGGTTTGGCTGCTCGAAGCAGCAGCAGGTTGTGCTTCACCTCCGGGGACGCTCCCCTGCCTCGGTGACACGTGCCTCGCTACTTGGAAATTCTTACTTCAGTGCCACTGAAACCCACACAGGATAATTAAAAGTGCTACTTGACTATAGTTTTTGCTTCTTTAAAAAAACAATATAGAACAGATCAGTGGGATCAGTAATGAGATGAGACGATTCTAGGCTCTTTGGCACCGATTTTGAACAGTCTGTAGTTTCCAAAATTGTCACTGTGGTCACCAAGTTCTAGTACAGAATCCTCATTCCCACTAGATGTCCCTCTAGTCCCAGAGCAGTGGAGCAGCAACCTCAGAACAGGAGGCCGGGGACAGGGGGACCCACGGCAACAGAATTTGCCTTTCTGCTCCTTAATCAGAGCTGAAGTTACGGTAGCATGAAAAAGCAGTTTAGCTAATAGTTCTCTGTATGACCTGTTACTTACCATCTCAATCGTTATGGATAAAAATATTAATCAAAAAGGTCAAACCCAAGCATTTATCATAAAGTCAATGCAATCCTTGCAGGATATTACAGGAAAGAAAAAAGGAAAGAAAACGTATTCTCTGGCTGTCACCTGTGTGCAGAAAGCATCGCCCGACCGACGCTGCGCTGCCGTGGGGCCGCGGCCGCTCCGCAGGACCGGCACCTGCTCCGGACGCTGCGCGGGGCTGTTCGCTGGCGGCTCCTGCCTTGGTTCTTTTCATGCTTTAGTTCTGAAAGGAAGGCATTAATGAATCTCATTAATTGTTATTAAAGGCAATTAAATACACCTATCATTTCTAAAAAGCCTGACTTGCGTTTCTGGATACCTTCGCGGTGATTTTCTGAGTATCTTTTATATAAGTTGACATTTTATTTCATTAGTCATGCAAGTTACAGAGCTCTGTGACTATTTGAATTGATTATGTATTTAAATAAAATATTAATATAAATGTTGTTATTACATGTCTACCTCTAGTTGCTTATAGTGGAATCCTAATTTTATCTGACATTTATGAACAATTCATAATAAACTGTCTTTGCAAAACACTCTGCATTGGACTGATGTTATGGACGGAATGTAATCAGCTTTTTAAGAGCACTGTCGAAAGACCATTTCTGCTACAAATTTGCATCTTTAAACCTACCTGTAAAGGAACTTAACTGTAAAAACGTAAGCAGTAAGGATAGCTCATTTATACCAATGCACTTTAAATAGTAACTGCTGATCCTTACAAAACTGACTGAGAACTCAGAACTGATTGTCCAAGTGCTCTCAAATTACCTCCAACCTTGGTTCTGACATTGCTCTCTAGTCCATGGCAATATGCAGTACAGAACTAATCGGCGCACCCCAGTAATCTACCAGTTTTTCCAAAAAAGTTCAGAAAAAAATGGCCTATTTTTAATATACTGTGCTGATTCTCAGTAGTATGAACAGAATTAGAACTTTTCCTACACTTTTGGAAGTTGGGGACTGTGACAAAGGTAATTAAAAGTCATTGTGTAATAAATGCTGACACTATGTCTTTGCATGAGCAGATGAAAACTGGTTCTGACAGTTGCGTTTTGTCATACATGTGAGACCAGTCATATACTGTGAGCTGCACAAACTTGATGTTACGATAACCTGTGCATTTAATATACGTCTTTTTCTTACAAGCCTGATTTAACTGTGACTTTAATATCATCTGCTAAGCTAGTGAGATTTTTTTTTTTCAGTTTTAGAGATGCCAAATGCCCTCCTGCCAGCATCTCAACAATAAGTCCACTAAGAAAAGACGGTTCAAGCTCAGCATCTTCAACATTTGGGTTTTGGTCACTTGGCCATTTGGCCAA